ATGAGTTTTTTGGTGAAGCAATATTTATTTTCTTTGCCTTCTCCCTCCTATCCCACCTCTTTATCCTCCCATCAACCACTCAGGAACCTATGTTGATATTATGATGTGCAGTCTTCTTACTATAACCATAGCTATTTATGTAATGTAACCATATTAAAAACATACTCTCACTATGTGCAAACATCTGATTTTAGACCCTCTATCCTATTTCATTTGCATATTTACCTATCATTGTTCTAATAGCACTTTATTGTAATTACTACAGCTTTAAAAGAAACCTTGAGAGCTGCTATATTAATGTCTTATGAAATTGTTCTTATTCAAGAGTATTTTGGCTATATTGCCTTTTGCATGTTTTTGTGTACATTTTAGAATCATACTGCCAAGTTTTGGCTTACTTTTACAAAAACCTTTCTGGGGGTTTAGTTGGGATTGCATTCAATCTAAAAATCAGTTTGAAGGGAACTGGCATCTTTATCATATTAAATCTTCCAATCCATGAGCATGGTATACTTCTCTAATTGGGAGTGTTAAAAAAATGTCTCTTACTAACATTTTATAATTTTCTCTATAGCTGTCTTGCACAAAATGTATTAAATTTATTTATAAGCTCCTTGTGTTTTTATGATTGTAAAAATCATTAAAATTTCATTTACTGGTTTACTACCCAATAATTAGTCTATTTTCTTCTCTGTCTCAGTTGAATTCAACTCAGTCATATCTACATTTCAGGTTCTGTCCCTGGTAACAACCAACTTCTGGGTATTAGTTTCTATTACTCTCAAGTTTGGTAGCTATGACAAAATACCAACTCAGACTAGCTTAGGCAGAAAGCTAGTTTATTGGGTCATAACCCAACTGGGGAAGAGTGTGGGGTGAGCTGCTCTTAGGAAAAGGGGGCATGAAAGGTGGGCTGGTGCCTTCTGAATCCTCTCTTACTACTTTCTCTCTGCTTTCATTAGTGTATTAATTAGGTTCATTTTTCTCCCACAGTTGAACTCCTCCCAGGCTGGAACCATCTCCTGGAGTTCCTGGCTCATATCTAGCATGTTAATTAAAAGAAGGGGCTTCCCTCCTCCCCTTAATGTCCATTCAAGTAATGAACTTCAATATACCTAAACTTCAATAGAGCCACACAAACACACATCCTTACTTTCACGATTAGCAGTCCCCATTAGACTCTTAAGCTGATGATACAAGAATTCTTCAAGAGAAATAGGGTGCTCTTCTCAGAAGGAGGAAAGCAGAGTAGATGCCCACCTTATAGATTATTGCTATTTTCTACCTGTTACTTTTCTGGGTGTTTTCTTCTTATTGTGATTTCTAGGCATCACCCCCTTCCACCTCTAGTCTTCAACCTTTCTTTTTACTTTTTTGGTGCGTTTCAGAGACTACCCATGAAATGGCAAAGTGCAGTGATTAGCCATTAGACTTTTAAGGCAAATTGGCCTTTTGAGGGTTGTTGTTTTGTTTTCAAAGCCTGGGGAGAATGGAAGAGAAGCCCAGCTTGATGCTGGCAGGTAAACTGTTTGGGTGGGCCTGGCAGGATCAGGGAGTAATGGGAGAAGGCCTCGGTTCTGAAATCTGAACACAGGACCACTGACTTGCTGAATGACCTTGGGTGATTTCTGTCTTTTCTCTGGGCTTCATATCCTTTCTAAATATAAAGGATTTGGCGATAATGATGTCCCCATGAGAAAGTAGGACCGTTCTTGGCACTATCATAGGTGATGTAACACAGTGGCTGCCATTTCCCTCTGTGAATAGTCTTTGGGGAATTCCCAAGGTCCCTCCCAGGCTGGAGGTGGATAGTTCTTGGTAGAAACACAAAAATGTAGGTCCTGTCCCTTGTAAAACCACAGACCCGCCCTTGGCACCAGGCCAAGTGGTGGCTACATAAATTAGGCTTGGCCTCAGCCCTTAGCCACACACCCTCCTGACAACATGAGACCCAGCAGCTTCTTGGTTCTGGCGGTTCTCCTCGTCCTCGGCATGCTGGTGGGACAGGCAGCTGTCAGTGGAGGTGAGTGGACAAGTGGCCTGGCTGGGGCTGGGTTGGGTTGAGGAGAGGCTGTCAGGGGCAACCTAGGTGCTGACAGGAAGCACTTCTGGAGCAACAGGCAGGGCTTAGGCCTTCACTTCAGCCTCTGGTCACTTCCATTGTATCCAGATAAAGTAGGAAGTTGTCCAGCTTTTCACCCCAGGACTGAGATAGGAAGACTGTGGGAGAAGTGTTGTTATGTGGCCTTGGCCTTAGACGTTGGGACTTCTGCAGAATGAAGTGAGGAGTCCCGGGAATCTGGGCCCTGGGTGTAGGGTCTGTCCCCTGTCTGTCTGCCCTGTAAAATCACCTGAGACTAATCAGTCCTCTGAGAGGAGGTTAAGAACCTGCAAGGCCTCAGAAAGCATGTAATTTGAAGAAGACCACCATTTTACTAAGGAGGACACTGAGACTTAGAGAGGGTGAGGAATTGTCAAGGCAATCTCCAGAGCCAGGAGGAGCTCAGGTCTCCTGGCATGTGTCTTGGAGCTCTTCTCCCCTCAGAAGTGACAATGTATCCTTCTCACTTCTTGGAGTCACTCCAGTCTGGAATCGCCTCCTGAGCACCGGACTTGGAATGGAGGGATGGCAAACTGTGGTCCTGTAGACCCTTCCCCAAAGCTCAGGGAATAGCCTTCCGAGAGCACAAACCCGAGTTAGCCTTGGTGATCCTCCTCCGCCTCAGGTCATAATTTGGGGGACACTGGAGTGAGCAGTGACTGGACCAAGAAGAAAGACAAGATAGTTGAAAGAGGGAGATGGTGTCTAACTATGGGTACGTTTCTTCTTTCAAGAAGCTTACCAAGTTCTGGACAAAGGACAAGTTACACGTCCAGGCATGGGGCATGGTCCAGTCAAAGTTCCACCAAAGCCTGGCTCCTGCCCCAGGATTCAGATGAAGTGCGCCATGATGAATCCCCCTAACAAATGTATGATGGATTCTCAATGTGCCGGGAACAAGAAGTGCTGTATGGGCTATTGTGGAAGAGTCTGTATGACGCCCAAGAACTGAATGGAGGAAGAGGTAACTCCCAGGGGCACAGAGAAAGCTGAGCGGTGGGAAATGATCCTTGGTTCTTGAGAGGGAGGATACTGGAAGGTGATGGGGAAACTGAGGGGTCTCAGAGGCTGTAACTGGGCTTCTTAGAGGAGTGACATGTGGACTTGACCCTATCTCTCACTGCCTCTGAGTGCTTTGACCTGCTGACTCATAGCTCTGGTTCTCCTCTCTCCTACCAGGTGGAGCCTGCTCTTGTTGCACCAGTGAAGACCCAGGACTGCAGTCCCTGGTCCCTACAGCATTTGAATGCCTTTCTCACATGGCTCATTCTTCCTCTCATCGAGGTTGCCTAAACCTGGGCTGCTTCTCTCAGTGATTTCCTAATAAAAGACTGCTTTCTACTCCATTTGTTTGGCTCCTATGACTTCTATGCTCATGGAAGCTCCTGGAGGTGGGTGTGGAGTTGGGATTCCCTCTCCCCAGTGAGGGTGGGGGCGAGAGGGCTCCATGGGAGCTGTTCCTGGTGTGAAGGAGAGCAGGGGCAGGAGCAAGAGACCCCACTCCTAGGGATTAATATTAGAAATCCAATAAACAACCCAAGAACTATATTCTCCATATCACCAGGAAATGGAAATCTGGACATTTCACTTGTTCATGCTCAAGATGCCTCCATTAGCACACAATCCCTTTGGATTAAGAAATATCCTCTCCCAACTTTAGATTTTAGGATGTGAATGAGGAGACAAGACACTCCAAGTCCTTAATCCTTTAGTAGGAATGTTGAATAGTGTTCTCTGGAGATATAAAGTTGGGGGCAGGGCAGATCCAAGTAGTGACGAGAATGGGGAGTATTTGTTGGGCAATCTTGGATGACCTTGTGGCTCTGTTGTTGGCCCCACTGCCCTTGGACAAGGAAGCTCTCAGGAGGCCAAAGCCACAGGAGGAGGAGGAGCATTTTGGGTGGAGTGGGAAAAGCACAGGCTTGGGAGTCAGTGACCTGAGTTCTAGCCCAGCTTTGCCACCTCTGAAAGACTCCCCAGTCACCATGGAAATGTCCCTAGGAAAGTGCCTTCTCATAACAAGCTAGACAGCAAGACTTACCTTCTGCCAGTTACTCCATCAGCAATAATTTATTTCACAAGGTCACTTTTGATGAACCTGAATTATCTTTCTGCCTCTATTTCAATCACAGCCTACATTCTCAGCCTTTTCACACTAGATGGTACTATGCCTTCCCTTTCTGCAGCTTGGTATTTTTATGAAGACACAAATTCATCCACAATACCTGTGCTCCCGGAAGGTCCCATAATCTTTTACTCTTGAGTCACAGTAGAGCATACCATTGCTGCTTCTGGGCACTTCAATTGATGTCGCATCCTGTCCAGCCAGCATTGCCAAAGGCTTCGGCATCACTTCCATGCCTCTTCCTGGAAGTGAGATGCTGCAGCCATTGGATGCTGGATTAAAGTCCATCCTTCCTCTGTGTCTGCTTTTTACCATCACTAGTCCTCACATCTGTGACGGAGCCTATGCATGTGTTGTCTGAACCAGTACATGTGCACATGGGGTGGCTGCAGAGGAGGCAGGGAGAGCAGGCACCTGGACCTTCCAGCTCCCATGGGGGACATGGGCTCAGCTTCCCACTCCTGAGACTGAGCTGGTGAGTATGCTCTAATTGTGGGAACAGCGTTTATATACATAGCAGTCAAGAAATGAAGGTTGGCCCTGGCCGGTGTGGCTCAGTTGGTTGGATGTTGTCCCATGCGCTGAAAGGTCCTGGTGTGATTCCCAGTCAGGGCACATACCAACATACCAGGTTGTGGGTTTGATACCCAATCAGGGTGCATATGGGAAACAACAACCAATCAATCTCTCTCTCTCTCTCTCTCTCTCTCTCTCTCTCTCTCTTCCTCTCTCAAAATCAATTTTAAAAATATATTTTTAAAAAATGAAATGAAAGTTGTCTAAACCAATCTCATGCCAACTGTGAGCACTGGGGCAGCTGCTCTGACCTTCCCTCCATTTCGTCTTCTCGCCCCAGCTTCTGGCCTCGAGTTTAACCGATGATAAAAAGGAAGGAAATCAGAGCTAGTAAGGCTTCCAAGGCATCATGGCCGATATTCACTAACCCCCCTAATGCCTCATAAAAGGCTTTTTCAACTCTGCATGAAGTGAAGGGGAGAGAGCAAGAATGACGGGGAAGTTAAGGTCTGAGCCGCACGATATTAGTGAAAGGACCGCAGCTGCTAGCTGAAGTGCCCAGGATGAGCACCACAGCCTTAAGTCCCTGGCTAATTGGGGGCAGTTCAGCAGCTACCAAGCTCCTCCCAGAGACACCGAGTTCTCCAGCAGAGGAGTTTCTGCTGAGCTGTAACCCTGGTGTTACACCTGCAGGCTCTGTTCTGTGTGCACCGAGGGGTGAGCAGCCAGGGTCACTGATAATGGCTGGACATTCTTTGGCCACTTCTGAGGCTCTCCTTGTCCAGATCCTCCTCAGATGAGGAGACTCTGTTCTAGCCAGCCATGTGTGTCTGCCCCCAGGACTCCAGCGTGACAAGGGTCATGCTCAGACCACTTGTTTCTCAGGTTGTCCCAGGGGCCTGAGCCACAATCTTCCACTGAATTTGGAATTGAAAGTCCCCGCTGACATAATCCAGATCTCATCTTGCAGATGGGGAAACCGATTTCTATGGGTGTCATCAAAGTTCACACTAGGCATCAAGGGCAGAGCTGAAGCCGGGAACTACCTGTCCTAATATGCTTGTTCTCTTTCTATAGGATGTTGACTAAGTCAGGAGGACTAGTAGCCTTAAAAAAAAAAAAAAAAAAAAAAAAAAGGCTTGTTGATCTATTCATTTTACCTGAACCAGAAATCAAGTTCATAGCAAGAATTCCAGGATAATAGAATGATTTGAACCAAAGTGGAGAATCAAAGATAATGCAATTTGGGGAGAAGATAAGAACAATTAAACGGTAAATGGACACTCCATAAAAGGCCAAGTGTTCTGCATCATTTTGGTGTCCTGTCAATAATCTTTCTGCTCCTCTAAATCCTGGCAGCATTTCCCTTCTGGGGGAAGATCTCAAATATGACCAGAGTTGTGCTTTCGATGGCTTGTAATTTGGAAACTGTGTTTAACAAGTTGTTTCCTGTCCATTCTTCTACGAGAGTGATGGAAGGGAAGTGTCCAAAGGAGATCTGAGAATTTCAAACAAACAAAACAAAAATCTTGGTGTGTGTATTGGATGAAGTCCACAAATTGACGAACATGCATTAGCAGATGGGACGTCAGTAGGTAACAACACGATGGTTTTTTTTAACAAATGGCTTCAGTCTTTTAGTTCACTGAGCACTTGCCACTGGTATTTACTGATACAGGAAAAGTAATTAATCATGCTTGGATTTATCTTTTTTTCGTTTACAACTTTAACAATACATATGTTTTTAAATGTCTTTTCCATAAAGTAAGTGGCCTTAATGCAGATAGCAGTTATCAGTTAACCTGAGCTCCTACATTGAGAAGGGGGGTGTCAGTCCAGATCCAGTGAACTTGATTTTGCTGATGACTGTTAGCCAGTTTACAACTTCCCCTTTTATGTACACACCGGATGTTTGTACAGTAAATTTTTCAGACTGTACCTTTAAAAATTTTATTGATGTTCACAGGCATTCTAGCCATCAGAGCTGGTGCAGGAGTGGTAGCTGCCACGTTTTAACCACTGTTTCTCCCCTTCATGACATGAAGATTCATTTTCATTGTTTGAACTAGGATCTTTCTGTGGCTGAGGTTTAAGGACAGAAAGCGATCACTTTAGACCAGTGATGGCCAACCTATGACACGTGTGTCAGAGGTGACACGCAAACTCATTTTTTTGGTTGATTTTTCTTTGTTAAATGGCATTTAAACATATAAAATAAATATCAAAAATATAAGTCTTTGTTTTACTATGGTTGCAAGTATCAAAAAATTTCTATATGTGACATGGCACCAGAGTTAAGTTAGGGTTTTTCAAAATGCTGACACGCCGAGCTCAGAAGGTTCGCCATCACTGCTCTAGACTCTGAGTGAGCTCTTAACCCCCAAACCTCTCATGCTGTCTGTTTCCAAAATGGATTCAATAAACATCATTTTGTACACGTGTAGCCTACTGGATTCCCATGAATAAGAAAGATTTTCAAAACCTCCTAGATATCTCATTGCCCCCTTTTTCCTTTTATGTTTTTTTTAATGTGACATGCCAAACTTTTTTTAAATTGAAGAGAGAGAGAGAGAGAGAGAGAGAGAGAGAGAGAGAGAGAGACATTGATTGGTTGTCTCCCATACCCACCCCAATTGGGAATCAAACCCAAAACCTGGGTATGTTCCCTGACTGGGAATCAAACCCATGACCTTTTGGTGTATGGGATGATGCTCCAACCAACTGAGCTGCACCATCCAGGGCTATCTATATCTATATCTATATCTATATCTATATCTATATTTATAGATCTATATATATAGATCTCTCTAGATATATCTATATATAGATGTATTTATATATATATATATATAGATCTCTCTCTCCCTCTCTCTCTCTCTCTCTATATATATATATATATAGTCAGCTTCTTATTAGCTCCAATTGGTCTCACTGTCTGAATTTGCTGTGATGTCAAAAAATTGACCCACAAAGAGCAAGTTCTGAGTTGGGTGAGATAAATACATGCCCTGAGAATGGAGCTTTTTATGAAGCTACCAGAGAGGTCAAATACTGACAATTTTCTGGAGATGGAGCTTTGGAGTAGCATAAAAGCCATTCTCCCCTTCAGTGGTGGCTGTGCTGCTGGTTTTCATGGGCTATAGTGCAAGTCTGCTAGCTTCCACACAGCTAGGAAGTAAAGGGATGGGAATAGGGCGAATCAAGCTTTCTCTTCTTCTGATATTCGCCTGTTTTTCTTGGTGTGTGTTTTTTTCCACCTTTTTTTAAAATTAAATAAACACTCCATGGATTGTTACAAGCCTTTGGTTAAGTTCTCAACTTCTGAAAAGGTTGATTTTGAAAATATTGGTTAGTGTTCTAACTGCTTTCTGAAAATGCTTACCTCTGTAGTAGGGTTTTTTATGGAGGCCTGCTATCACATTAAAGTGAACTTCTAATCCTGTAACATTATATTCTTCTATCATTAGTAGACTAGTGGCCTGGTGCACAAATTCATGCACATTGAAAGGAAATTAATTAGAAGAAATATTTTAGTATCTCTATTCGCCCTTTCTCTATAATAGAAGTGTCAACCAAATTCATGATCGACAATGACAGATCAAAACACACACCTGAGATTGGCTTCAGGGAGAGCTTTATATGTATCGCGCATGTGCGAGTCAACTTAGCCTGTTATAGATATAGAATAAACTTACTTAATTAGACCTGCTTTCTGATTTAGCTAAATTTTTCCCAGCCCAGTGAAGCACCCCAACTTCTCTTTCAGGTAATTGTCAGCAACACAGCAGTAAATATCAACACAAAGCTAATTATTATTGTAGATCACACAGGGAGAACAAAGGGCAAAATATTTAACTGCAGCAGTGTTTGACTATATTCTGTGCAGTGAGAAAACCTGAAGTCATTTTAAAGGTCCACTGTTTCTTACTTCTTTTCAGTCAGGTCAAGTTTCTAAGCTTTCTAAATCTCCGTTTTCCAGCTAATGAAAAGAAAATAGGAGTCCACCAAGTCTCCTATCTACCTACTCCAAGACTTTTGTGAGGATCAAATGAGATGAGGCATGGGAAAACATTTCATAGATATTTGGTTACAGTGTAAAATGTTTGCACCTGGCTATAAAGCAAGTTATGTTCCTGGGCTGAAGAAAGTGCAAGGAGGCTAGTCGCTAGGGAGAGGAAGCCAGGCATTCTACGTGATGTCCTTACCCGGTGCCCACAGCCACCATTTCCAGGCTGGGCTGGGCTGTGGGCAGCATTTTGCGTCATGGGGTCTCAGCAGCATCGGCTGCGATTTGCTGAGCTGTCGGGACAGGGTGGAGGCAGGGCCTGTGTCCCACTTGGGGGAAGCCAAGTGTTGCTTTGTGGGCACCAGTTCTGCAGCACCATTTCTCTGTAAATGGCCAGGGTGCCTCACTGAAGTTCCTGTGTTGAGTGTCTGCCTCTTGGTGGTCAGTGCACACCATAGCAACTGGTTGGAGGGACACTTAGTATATTAGCCTTTTATATTTATATACTAGAGGCCCAATGCACAAAGATTTGTGCAAGAATGGGCCTTCCTTCACCTGGCTGCCGGCACCGCCTTCGCTCCAGCTGGAGCCACCTTTCCGCCTTCCCACGCTGCCCAGAGACCGGAGTGGCTGGGGCGGTGCGGAACACCTGTGACCATGGTGACGACGCAAGTGTCCCGCCCCACCCTTGGCCACTTGGCACCTGTTAGGTTAATTTGCATACTCACTCCTGATTGGCTGGTGGGCATCATGAAGGTACAGGCATTTTGCATATTTTCTTTTATTAGTGTATATACAGATTAACTGATTAATCTATTAAATGATTAAGTGATTTTTCACATATTTTACTACTGATATGGAAATGATCATATGATTTTTCCCTTTACCTATTAATAGAGACTAGCCCCTTGACTTACTTTTGATTGTTAAACCACCTCTACATTTTTGAAATAACTCCCCACTTGTTAATGATGTATCACCATTTTCACATATGACAATATTAATTAGCTAATATTTTGTTTAAAATCTTTGCCTCATTTTTCTAGCAAGATTGGCACATAGTTTTCCTTGCATGCAATATCGTTGTCATGTTTGGTATTGAAGTTGCAATATCAAACTTCTTTGAAAACAGAATGGTCACAAGTGGGTTGTGGGACTGCAAACAGACAACTTGAGAATAGAAGTGCAGACGCTGTCCGGTTGGTGTGGCTCAATGGTTAAGCAACGACCTATGAACCAGGAGGTCACAGTTTGATTCCAGGTAGAAAACGAAGTGCAGATGCTGTAAGTTATTGGACTGTTAAAAAAATTAGAAAGGTTTTTTTCCCCTAAATTTGGACGGAAACGCACAGAGGACAGGCTAAACTAGAAACTAGAGCTAGAAGAGAGCAATGTAGGTGCACAGGGAAAAAACAGCAGGAGGTAACTATAAGACTGCACTAGAAAGAAGAGGAACCTCACATCTGTCAAAATGGCTGTCATCAAAAAATAACAAACAGCACGTGTTGGCAAAGATGTGGCAAAAAGGGAGCCCTTGTACACTGCTGGTGGGATTGTAAATTGGTGCAGCCACTACAGAAAACAGTATACAGGCTCCTCAAAAAATTAAAATTAGAATTATCAAATGATCCAGCAGTTCTACTTCTGGGTATTTATCCAAAGAAAACAAAAACACTAATTCAAAAAGATATATGAACCCCTATGTTCATTGAAACATTATTTATAATAGCCAAAATAGGGGAGCAACCTAGGTGTCTATCAATAGATGAATGGATAAAGAAGATGTGAGATATATATGTATGTATATATTATTTTGCCATGAAAAATAATGAAATCTGTGAAATCTAAACTAAACAAAACAGAAACAGATTCATAGAGACAGAGAACAAATTAATGGTTACCAGAGGATGAGGGGATGGGTGAAAAGGTGAAAGGGAATAAGAGGTACAAACTTCCAGTTATAAGATAAATAATTCACAACATAGGGAATATAGTCAATAATATTGCAATAATTTTGTACAGTGACAGGTGCATACTAAACTTATCATGGTGATTCCTTCATAATATATATAAAAGTCAAATGACTTTGTTATACACCTAACACTAATATAATATTGTATGTCAACAATACTTTGATTAAAATGAAAGAAAGAAAGAGAGAAAGAAAGAAAGAAAGAAAGAAAGAAAGAAAGAAAGAAAGAAAGAAAGAGTAGTTAGTAGTCAGTGGGTAGAGTTGCTGTTCCAGAGAGCTATCTTTTTCCTCAGCATCTCTCTGCCTCCCACACCTGGTACCAATGGTCCTGTGTGCATCCATCAATATGGTTCTTACCATGACTTAAGATAGGTATGTCCTTTGCCAACATGCAAGCAGAAGCAACACACACTTTTACAGGAGCACAGAGAGAGCTAAAAGGGTAATTTGGCCTACAGTTTACATTCCAAAATGACCTCTTAGACTTTGGCCCTTAAAAACAAAAGAGGAGGGGGGAGATTAACCAAAGAATTTATATGCATATATGCATAACCCATGGACATAGACAATAGTGTAGTGATGGCCTTGTGGGGGGCAGAGGGGGAGGAGGTTAATGGTGGGGGACATATGTAATACTTGCAACAATAAAGGTAAAATTTTGAAAATAAAGTAACTATTTCTTTAAAAATTAAAAACGAGCCCAGCCAGTGTGGCTCAGTGGTTGAGCGTTCACCTATGAACTAGGAGGTCACGGTTTGATTCCTGGTCAGGTACCTGCCCGAGTTGCAGGCTCGATCCCTAGTATGGGGCGTGCAGAAGGTCTCTCCTCTCTTTCTCCTTCTCTGAAATCAATTAAAAATATATTTTAAATAATAAAAACCAAAAAATCCCCAAACAAAAGAAGCCTATACAAAGTCATGGAGACCTAAAGACAGGGGTTAAGGTAGAAAATATCCATCACACAACTTAAACTTGTGTCTGTGCAGTCAGTTCACAATATATTCCCAGACTTGGTTAACTGATCTCCAATTCTCCATAATCTGAAAATTATCCTAGTAATAGCTCCTTATCTTGCCTTGTCATGGTGCCTGTGTGTGTTTCAAGTGTTCATTTATTCAAAGTAAATTCTTCAAATGTACCCATTTCTTAAGTCTGTTGGGAGAAGTAAGGTTTAAATAGTGAGGAGTGAAGTATGTGAGACCTGAGGAATGTCCTGGAAAGATAATTCCCTCCCGTTGCCTCATACTCCACTGCATAAAGCAAGAATTATGAAGGGCTGGGAAGCCTTAACACTCCCTGAAAAAGAGGAAGCTCTTATGGGCTCTCAGACCTATGCCCCAGAACTTATTACAGCTCCTCTGCCTGGGGGGCCGTGAAAGGAACCGCTGATATGAAGAAAGGGCAAGTTAAGGCACTTGTGACCTTGGGTCATGGGCACTACAGCTCCCCCTGCCGGCGGGCCCCAGCCATAGGCGATATAAACGTTCAGTCCCAAGGTTCACTGCACATGTCTGCAAGATGAGGCAGAGCAGCCTCTCCGTTCTCACCGGGATTTTCCTCCTCCTCTGCCTCCACTTGGTGCAGCCTGAATGGAGGGCGATGGGTGGGTGTAGGGTGAGGCGGTCCTGTGTGCGCTCGGGGTGGGGAACGTCCTCAGGGGACGAGTCCACGGGACGAGCTGGGACCCATGCCCAGCAAGGACTCACAGGTGCCCCCAACTCACCTGGTGGCTTCGTTCCTCAGATGTGGTCAAACCTGGACACTGTCCGGAGTTCCCACTTCGCTGCCCTTTCACGATGATACCGCTGTGCCGGCGCGATAGAATCTGCAAGAAGGACAAGAAGTGTTGCTTCTACAACTGTAGATATCAGTGTATGGTGCCGTGGGAGAGTCTGGATTGAGGTAAGAAGTCTCCTGGCTGCCATTCTTACCTTTGCCCCAGAAACGTTCCCAGAGAACCAGGTGTCCCAGAAGGAGCTGAGAGCCGCCAGCTCTGATCTTGCAAGTCACAGATCAGAGCTTTGAAACCGGGATCTGCCCTGAACAATTTGCCTTGAGGACAATCGAGAGACCTCGCTCCTCACCAAATGCACAGTTCACTTCCGTGTAGTGGGCGTCACTGTTCAGTGAATGACGGGGACATTTATCTCCAAGCTCCTCAACCGTTACTGAATGGTTATGATGGCTAGTTTCAATTGCTCTTGTTTTGTTCTTTTAGTTTGTTATAATGAATCACGTTCCTCTTCACATTTAAATTGTGAAGTAAAGGACAAGATGATATCATTCCTTAGGAGGGCTTGCCTGGCGTTCCTAATTCCCAGGCCCTGACTCTTAGCGCTCCTGGGAGGAAGGTATTTGGCAGGATTCAGACCCAGCCAACGCCCCCTGCACAGTTTGCACCGCCCCATGTCTCTGATCCTGTCTTCTCTCCCCAGGTAGAAATCCCTTCTTACCGGGCCCTGAGAAGACACTGGTAGAACAGGCTCCGACTCGGATAACTGGTCTCCAACTCTTCCCTGTTCTCCTCACCCCCCAGACTTCCTTCATCAGAGTTCAATGCTTATTACTATGAAAGCAACACAAAGAAATAAAGTGTTATCTACCTGAAACAATTGTCCATGAAAATCTATGACTGCGGGGTCGCTCTGTGCTCCGCCTTCCGGGAAGATCCTTGAGGGTTTGTAAAAAAGGATGGGGCTGCTGTTTCCCATATAGTTTTGAGCGATTCCTGCATTTCTGCCATGTCCTTCTCTTTCAGGGTCTTCTGACACTCAGATTCCCTGTTGGTCAGTTTCCAAAACCTGACCTTGGGCCGTGGGGCATTTTGAGTCATAGTTTCTGAGTTTGGGTCCCATGGAAGGTGTATCTGTACGTCTGAGATGGAGGAGCGAGGCTTTTGCTGCACTTAGTCTGATACTGCGGCTGCTGGCCTTTCCACACCTTGATGATTGTTCCAGGTTTCTAAGAAGCTCTCCCCTCTTCCCGCTCCTCCACTCATCCCTAAGGGCCCCCTAAACTGTCCCAGAAGGGCCTCCTGACCAGCCTGTGACAGTCCCCCTCCAAGTTGTACATTTCCCTCTCTGGGCCTCATAGTCTTGCCTGGGGTAGAAAGAACCACTGATACTCTGGGTGGTGAGGTCACTGTCTTGGCCTGAATTCCCTGCTTATGAAATACCAGCTGGGACCAGACCATGGGAAAAATATCTTCCAGGTAGCGGGAAGGCCTGAGAGACCCTGACTCACCTTTGCTAGCACCTACAACAGCCCAGGACCACAGGATTCTGAGGGCCAGGAGCATCATGAAGGCCAGGAGGTTGTTAAGCTCATAGTGAGGGCAGGAGGCTGTGGTGGCCATGCCGGGGCCAGGTCTGGTGGAGCCACACCCACAGCGAGAGGTATAAGGGATGCGGCTGACAGCAGCCACCACAGCCTCCTGCCCTCACTATGAAGCTTAACAACCTCCTGGTGTTCACGGTGCTCCTGGCCCTCAGAATCCTGTCGTCCTGGGCTGTCGTAGATGCTGGCAAAGGTGATTCAGAGTCTCTCAGGCCATCCCATGTTGGGGTCCAGCCCCAGCAGGTCCAGGGGTCCCCAAAGGTCTGGCCGGAGTCGGCGAAGAAGGAATGACACGAAGACAGCGTTCAGTTGATCAGCAGCCTAGCCAAGATCTCTAGCCAGAAACTCTAGCCAAGTTCTGGTCAGGATCTCCATCGAAGTTCTGGTTAGGATCTCCAGAGAAGTTCTGGTTAGGATTTCCAGAGAAGTTCTGGTCAGGTTCTGGTGTTTATTGTCTTTTTACATCTGTATTTATACCAATTGATTTTTTATCCTGTCAATTTCTGTTGCAAAGGTTAGGGCATTTCTCATCTCCATTCCAGGGAGTAAAGATTATGTAGCTTAAGCGTGATTGTTTGTAGTTAAAGTGATTAACTACCCGCCTGGAACTTAGTTAAGGGGTTGTATCCCATCCTTAACCTCAGGGGATAATCCCCACCTGGGGAAACAACCTTTCTCGGAGAGGTGACCTTGGTTAAAACACATAGCGCCAAGAAGGGGAGCAAACATATTAAGAACAATATGCTATATATGCCAGGTTCCTTGAAACATATGCTGTGCAGATGTTTCTTTCCTGCAGCGACTGTGTCAAGCAGCAAGGATGGACCGGCTTCTGGCAATCCCAGTACCTGGAAGTCATCTTTCCCATGGTCTGGTCCATAGCCCTTCATTTCAAGCTTCCTTTTCTACTGTTTGCTCGTTTTCATGGTCACATAATTTGATCTCCTGTTTAATTTTCCAGATTTTCCTCATCACTTTTTTGACGGTCACTTTCTCTTTCTCTCTTTATCAGTTGATCTGCTTTCTTTCTTCCAGTCTCTGAGGAGTTGTCCCTCCTGCTCACTGTCCTTCGCTTCCTTCCTCCCAGCCAGGGTGTATCTCTCCCTCTCCCTGGGAACACCTGAGCTCTATGCAGCCGTGCCCTGGAGCTGGCTTATACTGGCTTGCAATGGCCAATTGGTAAGTTTTCAGGACTTTTATGAGATAGTTGACATCATACTATTAGTTTGAAATCAATCATGATGGGAGTATTTACACCATGGAAATTGGCAAATGCTACAACATTTCCCAGCACACCTCCATCTGTTGCTTCTTTCCTGGGTTATTGACCCCCTCTTGGTTGAGTGCTTGGCTGAGCTTGATGCTGCCCCACAGCTGCCTTAAAACTGGAATCCTAAGTGCTCCCTGCATTCATCTGGGGTCAGCCACCTGGGTTAGGTTTTCTCTCCTCTCTTGGGAAGTTGATTCCTTGTTCAGGATTGTGGTCATGACTCAGAATCAGTTCCTTCTCCCTCTCTTGTTCTTACCCTTCAGAAAAAGCCAAACCTGGAGCCTGCCCCTTCATATACCCAGCAAACTATCTTGTGTATGAACCTCCTCAATGCCACAGTGACTGGCAGTGTCCAAAGAAGCAGAAATGCTGTCCTGGCCTTTGTGGCACCAAATGCTTGGATCCTGAAGACCCATCAAAGCCAGGTGAGAAAGTAGGGTCCTGGGAAAGGGGACCAGTGAGGTTTGAGCTTGAGGACATGCATCTTGGAGAAGTGGAGGGGTGTGTAAGGTTCCCCCACATCCCACGTGGTTCAGGGTTCAGGATCTGGAAGAGGGTCACACGCAAATGAAAGAGACAAGACAAGAAATAATAACTTGGAAATATTGGGGGGCCAGGCGGGCAAGTCCAACTCAAGGGGAAGGACTTCCACTGGTGCTCAGGCATCAACAACCTTTTATTGGTTTGGGATACACCCATAGTCCTTAGGCAGGCAATTTCCAGTAACAGGCAGACTAGCCCTTTAGCAAGGATTTACATAATAATAAATGGGGAATTTTCTTCAGCTACCATTGTCTGGACTAACAGTGGGTGCACAGCCCTGACCTTTGCCAGGGCTTCAAGGGTACCAGCCTTCCGGGTTCCTTGTCCACACGTCTCTGCTAGAGAAGACAATAGGCGGCTTCCCACATCTCCCCCTTCCCTTTTCCTTAAAAAGGTCTTGAAAAGTGAATGCTGCCTAAAAGGGCTTGAGTCCTTTCAAGACTCTTCATTCCACATCTGCAGACTAGAAATAAACATGAGAACAAAAATGAGACAAGCAATAGTGGTTATGCTGAGAGGCAAATGTCGTGTCCTTTTTAAATTACTGCCAGGTATCCAAGGAATCAGTCTGTAGTAAGTTTCTTTCTGGGCCGACAGTTCTTTGAGTCCCAATTTCAATGTCCAACAGTTCATGTGTACATGCCAGCAATGATATCCTAGTTCTGGATGGTGGGCAAACGATGGCAATGCAGGTCCGACCTTCTCTGGTTTGGTCCTGGGCAACCTGCACAACTGTTGACTGTCAGTATGGCAAGGCGTCTTCACCATCTCCATCTCTGGACTGTTTCTCCTCTTGTCTTCGTGGCTGGAGCAATCTGGTCAGTTTCTCTCTGGGATCCATTGTTGCAGAAAATCCACACGGGCTTGGAGGAGTTTTCTGGAAATATACAAACATATTCTCGAGCAAAGGTTAAAAAGGAATATTTCTATAAACTAGACAATTTTCCTTTGGCTTATTTTGACACCATGCATGTTTTCGTAGGTGTCTTGTCTTCAGCATTAGAAGTGAAAATTAATTTTTAAAGTAAAATTTTCTTGATGTAATTTACTCACAGGAGATTATTCTACTATCCCCCTTTTTTATTTAAATAATATTAAGAGGCTTTTGGAAATTTTGCAATGCAGTCTTGATAACTTTTTAATTTTAATTTTCTGTACAGATATATGACTGCTTTGAATTCATAGCATGGTAAGCAGTTTTTGAAGTATGAGATAAACCATTAGTAAAAAATTAGTTAATGCTTCAGGAACAGTTTCCTGCCCAGTACAACAAAGATTTTATGAATATTCATTTATTTTCAATAGGCAATTTAAATCAATCTAAAATAAGGTTTATTTTTTAACTTTACTTTTCCTAAGTTATGGACAGTAAATGACAATTAAATTTCTGGTATTAGTCTTTGGGTAACTTTACATGAACTTTGTTTAGGGAGACAAAAACACAAATTACTTACTTTAGCTTATGAGGCCTAAGATATTGTTTTTTATTTACAGTTAGGCATCTGAAGGAAACCTCTTTTTATTTCCTTCCAGACACTTTTCTTTCTCACACAAGCAACAAATGTAAGAAACGTGGTTGCTTTTTGAGATTTTAATAAATACTGCCACAAAGCCATATGTTTCAAGTGATTTTTTTCATTTATGGTAACTAATTATTGTCAGATTTAGTATTTTAACAACAATCTTAGTTTACCCTGTAAATATTAGCAATTATATTTTTAAAGAGTATCCCCTTTGGCTTATTTGCATATACAGAGGGATTATGGGAGGTTTCAGTATATTTCCTAGACTTTATTTGGATTCAATTATAACTTCAGCATCTAAAGAATAAATAATATGTAAGATTTTAAAATGAAGCACATGGCTTATTTCAAGCAGTGTATTGAGCATTGAAAATAATTCATAAACTCCCAATCTGTGAAACGCAAATACCCCGAGCATCACTGGCAGACGCCCCCACAGGGATCCTGACTCTTGGCTGCCCAGACCCTGACGGGACACATGCTACCCCTGCTGAGAATTTCCTGTTTGAACTTGGCTCTGAATCTCTGCAAGTTCCATTCTGAGGAAGATGCCTTAACAACCCATGTGACCTGTTTCTTGCTCTTGATTGGAGCTCAGGCGCATGGTCTTTCCCAATTGGCTAATTCAAACAGAGGGGTTGGTCTTTGCTGTTTCAAGATGGCGGCCCCCAGGGGAGCGGCAAACCATTCGGCCAACATGGCGGCTGCCAAGTCAGGCAGCCCAAAATGGCAGCTGTCTACACTGTTCTTTGATAGAGCAAACCAAAATCCCTAAAAGATAGATGGCCAACATTATATTGCAGACAAACAGAAATCTCATTAGCTGTTTATACCTTTTATAATTATCTTAAAGAATATCAATTAAATTTAAACTGGTTTTTGTATTAAAAATTTCAGTTGAGATCACAGAATTAATCCTCTTTTTTAATCAGACCAATAAGCAACATATTTTGAATTCCTAATTTCAGAGAAAACAAAAATTATTTTCTCAAAAATAAATTTCTACACCTTAGGCATCTAGCTACCACAACTACACAATTTTTCCCAATTCAATCCGAACTCTAAACTTTTAGAGCTAGCAAGTCAAATACTTAGCATTTCTCAATCAGTAACATTTTTAAGAATAAACTTCAAAAATACAAGACATAATCAACCAACAGATTCAATTCTGTCCTCTAGATTTCGTATGAGGCACACTCAGATCAACACTTCAGCATTATTTCACTTCAAAATATCTAGATATAAGTTTTTATCATTTGATTCAGTAAACCCCAAGGTCCCAAGTTCCCAGCGGCTCTGGAAAACCACGCTTGAGGCTGGCAAACAGGCCTGGCCCAGCCCTTGACTTTAAAAGGACCATTTTTTCTGGGAAAAGTCAAGAAGCACACTTGACTACAACAAGACTGCGCACAAAGACCACTAGGGGGTGTACCAAGAAAGCATAAAAAATGCGGAGACAAAGAAACAGGACAAAACTATCAAGGGAGGATATTGAGTTCAGAACCACACTTTTGAGGTCTCTCAAGAGGCTTCTAGAGTCTGTCGATAAACTTGATGAGATGTACAGGAAATCTAATGAGACCCTCGATGGTGTGATAAAGGACCATCTAGAAAGTAAGCATACACTGACTGAAATAAAGAATATTATACAGACTCCCAACAGCAGACCAGAGGAGCGCAAGAATCAAGTCAAAGATTTGAAATGCGAAGAAGCGAGAAATACCCAACCGGAAAAGCAAAATGAAAAAAGAACCCAAAAATACAAAGATAGTGTAAGGAGCCTCTTGGACAGCTTCAAACGTACCAACATCAGAATTATAGGGGTACCAGAAGATGAGAGAGAGCAAGACATTGAAAACCTATTTGAAGAAATAATGACAGAAAACTTCCCCCACCTGGTGAAAGAAATAGACCTACAGGTCCAGGAAGCGCAGAGAACCCCAAACAAAAGCAATCCAAAGAGGACCACACCAAGACACATCATAATTAAAATGCCAAGAGCAAAAGACAAAGAGAGAATCTTAAAAGCAGCAAGAGAAAGAAACTCAGTTACCTACAAGGGAATACCCATACGACTGTCAGCTGATTTCTCAACAGAAACTTTGCAGGCCAGAAGGGAGTGGCAAGAAATATTCAAAGTGATGAATAGCAAGAACCTACAACCAAGATTACTTTATCCAGCAAAGCTATCATTCAGAATTGAAGGTCAGATAAAGAGCTTCACAGATAAGGAAAAGCTAAAGGAGTTCATCACCACCAAACCAGTATTATATGAAATGCTGAAAGGTATCCTTAAGAAGAGGAAGAAGAAGAAAAAGGTAAAGATACAAATTCTGAACAACAAATATGCATCTATCAACAAGTGAATCTAAGAATCAAGTGAATAAATAACCTGATGTACAGAATGAACTGGTGATTATAATAGAATCAGGGACATAGAAAGGGAATGGACTGACTATTCTTGGGGGGAAAAGGGGTGTGGGAGATGCGGGAAGAGACTGGACAAAAATCGTGCACCTATGGATGAGGACAGTGGGTGGGGAGTGAGGGTGGAGGGTGGGGTGGGAGCAGGAAGGAGGGGAGTTATGGGGGGGAAAAAAGAGGAACAAATGTAATAATCTGAACAATAAAGATTTAATTAAAAAAAAAGAAAGAAAGAAAGTCTATTACTAACATTTTATAATTTTCTCTATAGCTGTCTTGCACAAAATGTATTAAATTTATTTATAAGCTCCTTGTGTTTTTATGCTTGTAAAAATCATTAAAATTTCATTTACTGGTTTACTACCCAATAATTAGTCTATTTTCTTCTCTGTCTCAGTTGAATTCAACTCAGTCATATCTACATTTCAGGTTCTGTCCCTGGTAACAACCAACTTCTGGGTATTAGTTTCTATTACTCTCAAGTTTGGTAGCTATGACAAAATACCAACTCAGACTAGCTTAGGCAGAAAGCTAGTTTATTGGGTCATAACCCAACTGGGGAAGAGTGTGGGGTGAGCTGCTCTTAGGAAAAGGGGGCATGAAAGGTGGGCTGGTGCCTTCTGAATCCTCTCTTACCACTTTCTCTCTGCTTCTATTAGTGTATTAATTAGGTTCATTTTTCTCCCACAGTTGAACTCCTCCCAGGCTGGAACCATCTCCTGGAGTTCCTGGCTCATATCTAGCATGTTAATTAAAAGAAGGGGCTTCCCTCCTCCCCTTAATGTCCATTCAAGTAATGAACTTCAATATACCTAAACTTCAATAGAGCCACACAAACACACATCCTTACTTTCACGATTAGCAGTCCCCATTAGACTCTTAAGCTGATGATACAAGAATTCTTCAAGAGAAATAGGGTGCTCTTCTCAGAAGGAGGAAAGCAGAGTAGATGCCCACCTTATAGATTATTTCTATTTTCTACCTGTTACTTTTCTGGGTGTTTTCTTCTTATTGTGATTTCTAGGCATCACCCCCTTCCACCTCTAGTCTTCAACCTTTCTTTTTACTTTTTTGGTGCGTTTCAGAGACTACCCATGAAATGGCAAAGTGCAGTGATTAGCCATTAGACTTTTAAGGCAAATTTGCCTTTAGAGGGTTGTTGTTTTGTTTTCAAAGCCTGGGGAGAATGGAAGAGAAGCCCAGCTTGATGCTGGCAGGTAAACTGTTTGGGTGGGCCTGGCAGGATCAGGGAGTAATGGGAGAAGGCCTCGGTTCTGAAATCTGAACACAGGACCACTGACTTGCTGAATGACCTTGGGTGATTTCTGTCTTTTCTCTGGGCTTCATATCCTTTCTAAATATAAAGGATTTGGCGATAATGATGTCCCCATGAGAAAGTAGGACCGTTCTTGGCACTATCATAGGTGATGTAACACAGTGGCTGCCATTTCCCTCTGTGAATAGTCTTTGGGGAATTCCCAAGGTCCCTCCCAGGCTGGAGGTGGATAGTTCTTGGTAGAAACACAAAAATGTAGGTCCTGTCCCTTGTAAAACCACAGACCCGCCCTTGGCACCAGGCCAAGTGGTGGCTACATAAATTAGGCTTGGCCTCAGCCCTTAGCCACACACCCTCCTGACAACATGAGACCCAGCAGCTTCTTGGTTCTGGCGGTTCTCCTCGTCCTCGGCATGCTGGTGGGACAGGCAGCTGTCAGTGGAGGTGAGTGGACAAGTGGCCTGGCTGGGGCTGGGTTGGGTTGAGGAGAGGCTGTCAGGGGCAACCTAGGTGCTGACAGGAAGCACTTCTGGAGCAACAGGCAGGGCTTAGGCCTTCACTTCAGCCTCTGGTCACTTCCATTGTATCCAGATAAAGTAGGAGGTTGTCCAGCTTTTCACCCCAGGACTGAGATAGGAAGACTGTGGGAGAAGTGTTGTTATGTGGCCTTGGCCTTAGACGTTGGGACTTCTGCAGAATGAAGTGAGGAGTCCCGGGAATCTGGGCCCTGGGTGTAGGGTCTGTCCCCTGTCTGTCTGCCCTGTAAAATCACCTGAGACTAATCAGTCCTCTGAGAGGAGGTTAAGAACCTGCAAGGCCTCAGAAAGCATGTAATTTGAAGAAGACCACCATTTTACTAAGGAGGACACTGAGACTTAGAGAGGGTGAGGAATTGTCAAGGCAATCTCCAGAGCCAGGAGGAGCTCAGGTCTCCTGGCATGTGTCTTGGAGCTCTTCTCCCCTCAGAAGTGACAATGTATCCTTCTCACTTCTTGGAGTCACTCCAGTCTGGAATCGCCTCCTGAGCACCGGACTTGGAATGGAGGGATGGCAAACTGTGGTCCTGTAGACCCTTCCCCAAAGCTCAGGGAATAGCCTTCCGAGAGCACAAACCCGAGTTAGCCTTGGTGATCCTCCTCCACCTCAGGTCATAATTTGGGGGACACTGGAGTGAGCAGTGACTGGACCAAGAAGAAAGACAAGATAGTTGAAAGAGGGAGATGGTGTCTAACTATGGGTACATTTCTTCTTTCAAGAAGCTGACCAAGTTCTGGACAAAGGACAAGTTACACGTCCAGGCATGGGGCATGGTCCAGTCAAAGTTCCACCAAAGCCTGGCTCCTGCCCCAGGATTCAGATGAAGTGCGCCATGATGAATCCCCCTAACAAATGTATGATGGATTCTCAATGTGCCGGGAACAAGAAGTGCTGTATGGGCTATTGTGGAAGAGTCTGTATGATGCCCAAGAACTGAATGGAGGAAGAGGTAACTCCCAGGGGCACAGAGAAAGCTGAGCGGTGGGAAATGATCCTTGGTTCTTGAGAGGGAGGATACTGGAAGGTGATGGGGAAACTGAGGGGTCTCAGAGGCTGTAACTGGGCTTCTTACAGGAGTGACATGTGGACTTGACCCTATCTCTCACTGCCTCTGAGTGCTTTGACCTGCTGACTCATAGCTCTGGTTCTCCTCTCTCCTACCAGGTGGAGCCTGCTCTTGTTGCACCAGTGAAGACCCAGGACTGCAGTCCCTGGTCCCTACAGCATTTGAATGCCTTTCTCACATGGCTCATTCTTCCTCTCATCGAGGTTGCCTAAACCTGGGCTGCTTCTCTCAGTGATTTCCTAATAAAAGACTGCTTTCTACTCCATTTGTTTGGCTCCTATGACTTCTATGCTCATGGAAGCTCCTGGAGGTGGGTGTGGAGTTGGGATTCCCTCTCCCCAGTGAGGGTGGGGGCGAGAGGGCTCCATGGGAGCTGTTCCTGGTGTGAAGGAGAGCAGGGGCAGGAGCAAGAGGCCCCACTCCTAGGGATTAATATTAGAAATCCAATAAACAACCCAAGAACTATATTCTCCATATCACCAGGAAATGGAAATCTGGACATTTCACTTGTTCATGCTCAAGATGCCTCCATTAGCACACAATCAGGACTGACTGGGCATGTCACCAGGGCAGGCACAAGGGGACCCAGATAAGCGTGAGCGGCCCCACAGGCCACGCCGAGGGA